CCACAATTATTTTTTTTTACATACTGTCACCAATGCAGTACAGTGTCATCCTATAACTGGTGTGGCAGTGATCAGGGACACTGACTAGCGACAGAATGTAAAAAAACATTTTTTAAAACGTAACAGTTTTTCATTTTTTAAAAAATGTTTATAAAATTTTTAACAAAAGAACTAATGTTTTTTTTTTTTTTTCTACACCTGTGACCAGAGTAATACAATGTTATCATAGCAGCATTCTACTACTCTGGGCAAGTGATCAGGATTTTATTTTCCCTTTACAGATTACGATTGTATATAAAAACTAATTTTATTAGTATAAGCAAGCATTTATACTGAATGAAACTGATTCATTCAGTAGTTTTTGTTGTGATCAGCTGTAATTGGCTGCAATTGGTCACAGCTGATCACATGCTACAGATGGGCTGTAATTGGCCCAGTCTGTACATGTGACCAATCAGCACATTTTTAAGCAATGAATGGCATGAAAGGAAACCATTTATTGTTTACAACTGTCATGTGATCTGCTTTGATTTGTTACGGCGATCACATGACACTGGCAGCAGGCCAGTGCAGTGATCTGTCATCGGCCGTCTCCAGTGGACACAGCCGTGACAGATGGCGCCGGTTTGCAGCCCATGGGGCGTGATCCTGGGAGGATGTCATATGACGTCCTCCTATGATAATGGGGATCTGGCTTGGCCATCATGTTACAGTAGGCCAGGTGGGAAGGAGTTAAAGAGATGCTGTCGCCAGCTTAAAAATTTCAGATGAAAGCACACAAAAGTCAAATATTGTACATGATTTTCTATCACAGTGGGGTTTATTTACTAAAGCCGGAGAGTGCAAAATCAGGCTCACTTTTGCATAGAAACCAATCAGCTTCCAGGTTTTATTGGCAAAACTTAGTTGAACAAACTGAAGTTAGAAGCTGATTTTTTTCTATGCAGAGGTGAGCCTGATTTTTCACTTTCCAGCTTTAGTAAATAAACCCCAATGTGTCTTTGAACGTGCTAGAAAATTTGGTTTCTTCTGGAAGAGTCAATTCCCTAGCACAACCTTTTTTCTCTTCTGGGAGTGTCTCATTTCTGTTTGTGCTGGCCCAGCTCCTCCACCCCTCCCGTTAACTGCATACATATCCTTTCATGTAGCTGCTGGGGGCAGGTGAAGGGAAATACTGTATGGCAGCCTTTCTAAACCTTTTTACCACAGAGGTACCTCTAAAAAGGGCCATATTTAGACCCTAGGGGCCAAGGGCACGTCAGGTTCTGGGGGCCCCTCACACCAAAAGTTGGTTTACATTCCCAATGACAGTCACACATTTTTGAACTGTATGATACAACACCAATCTGAAGTCATGCTTACACAGACACACAGAGTCATCATGCCCTATGTGTGGTTCGCATGAGTTGCCAAAATTCGTTGTTAAAAACAATACAATATACCATTCCAGAGTAAGAGTCTGTTCACACTTGTGCAACTTGCCATGCAACCTTGGGGTCCAAAGTTGCATGACAAGTTGCACCCAATGTTTGCCAATGAGTACCATTGAAATCTGTGCGACTTCAAGTCACAGTGATCTAAAAGTAGCTCCTGCACTACATTGTATGCGTTTTGATGCAACTTTAGTCGACGTATAGTCGGCTCAAAGTCGCACCACAAGTTGGATCAAACTCGTGCTCCAAAGTCACACTGGAAATCGCATGACTTTGGAGTCACAGTAATGTGAATGGAGCCTAAAAACGTTTACAGATAATGGCTGGCAAAATATTACTTCCAAAGATGCATTTATTAAAAGAAAGAAGGAAGTAATTTTTTATGATTATATGGTTTATATTTTTTTATTAGTGTTTGTTTTTTAGTATTCTATATAATTTTTTGTTTATTGTTTTATAATAGGAGAGGGGGGGGGGCTCTTTTGTCAGGGGGCCCAGGGCGGGTGCCCCTTTTGCTCCTTTATAAATCCAGCACTGCCCCTAAAATAAGTTTTAGGACTTAAGGAACCTTTACCAAATCACATTCTTTTGGGGTCAGTTGAAAAAATGTCCCTTACATTGGTGGTCAGTAGGAAGAATGCATCCCTACAGTGGTGGTCAGAATGCAACCTTTATGGACAGCAGAAATGATAATTGATGTTTTTCAGCTAGATTTGCCAAGTGTCAATGGCCCTCCATCTAGCAACCATAAAGGGAGGTCAGTCTTCCACAACTCAAGGAACCCCTAGCAATCTCTAGTGGAACCCTGGATGAGAATGGCTGCTGCTATAGGGTGTCACTTGAGTGACAGCTTGGGTTCTGCTGGGGCTGCTGACATCACATCCAAGATGGTGGTGCCCTGCAGTGTCAGGCCTTTTCAAACAAGGAAGGCTTTTATAGGGAAATATTATCCTTAAAATTAATTAACCGCATATATTATCTTATGAATCCTAGCATATCTTGCCATTCTGTGTCACATGTACATATAGGATCTGGCTGTTAGAGTATGCTGGATTTTTCAGTTCCACATCAACTACATAGACATTGATTGAAAAATGCTGATTCAAGCATTTAAAGTGTTACTAAACCCATAACAGTAAAATCAGTCTGTATATGCAGTAAAGCATGCTTGTTATACTCACTGTGGAACCTAAGGAGTTAATCCTCTGCATTGTGTAAAAAAACGCTGTTTGATCCTGTCTTCTCTGATCCTCCCCTTCTTCCAGTGTCCCCCTTTTATCTCCTGATAAGACATATCGTGTGAAGTCACTCTGCACATGATCACTTTGGTGTGTATTGCTAGAGAGGGTTTTTGTTTTCTAGGGAAAGTGCATGGGATCAGCACAGGGCCAATCAGCACTGTCCAAACAGAAGTCAGGGGTTCTACATCATCCTAGAGCAGAAAGAAAACTCCTCCTACAAGCTTTAACCAGTGCTCAGCTGAAGTCACAAGACTGCTCTAATTGCTGATAAGAAAAGGTATTTAGCAATTTATATTTACTAAAATATTAACATTTCCATGTTGTGTGTACTGTGGGAGACCAGATATAGTGAATGCAGGGTCCTGGGTTTAGTAACACTTTAAATTCCCCTAAATACAGTATTAATATACTATACTGCTTACCATTACAATTGTTTTCTTATTTTTTTTTGTATGGAAATCTTCACTTTTATTTTAATATATTCCATATATTTTATTTTAAAATGTATTAACATAAAGCGGTTCTCCACTCTGTAACAAAGAATTAAAAAAAATGTTTAACAATAAGACACTTACTTTCACTAGCCTTCTGATTCCTGGCTCCGTCATCTTAACTGTGGCTGTGAAACTGATAGGAGCACAGCCTGCTGCCTATTGAAAATGCCCAAGAAGCAAAGCACTTTGTGAATGGTCCCACAGTCTTCTGGGACCTGTGATGTGTCCCCATAAATGTGAATAGGACCATAATGCAACACTAGAGAGGCAAGTGATAAGTTCCCATTTAAAGAGACCCTGCTGTGAAACCAATAGTTTACCATAAGATTATATGTGCATTTAAAGTTGAACTCCAGCAACAAAAAATCATTTACGTAAATATATTCCATAACAGCAACAAACAATCTCTAATGCACAGAATGCATTTGCAAACTCAGATATTATCTTGTAAAAGTAGCAGTAACATCACCACTGTGCTACACATAGCCTGTGTAGAGATCAGAGCTGTGGGAGAAGACAAGACCAGTCACCCTGCACAAGGAAAGGGAGCAGCACTGACTGGTCTTTGTTACAGGAAACGGCAGTCAATGTGTAAGAGTTGTAAAATGTCACCATTTAAAATGTTTGATTATCTTTGCTCTCACCTGCACTTTTAAACCTATTTCCAAACATCCCTGGCATCCCTTTAAGTGAGTCTTTATGGCCAGGGATTAGAACGAATTTCCCAATTTGTGACCACTGTGATTGGCTGTCACTGTCAGCCCCCGATGATGATTTGAAACTGAGAGCTGTCAGTGTAGTAAAAACAAGGCCTTAGTTATATGTAGGAGGCACAGACTTAAATCTTCAGCTTTTTGTCCAATCAGGAATTACTACAGTTCACCAATCTCTCATATTAAACAAATATTATTGTAGTGCCCTCTAGTGTAGTTATTGATTTAGTGTAGCTAGAGGCTTGCTAGAAACCAGGGTGTGAGTCAGAGGGTTACTTCAGGTCTAGCTGGAGGCCTCTACAGGTCAGTCCTTTTGTAATTCCCCATTCTCTAGAAGCTTAGACAATCTTCTAGAAGTCAGGAGGTGAAGGTGAGCAGGAGCTGATCTGCATATTTATGGGAATCTGATGAATCCCAGGCAGAAGGCCTGACGGTGTGGCATACTAGCCCATAAATATGACAGAGTCTGGCCAGCAGGACAGTCGGGTGGAAGATGGATGGTGAAGTGCTGCTGTGTGGCCTGGGAGGGGGCCCTGGAGAAGGGGGGTTCTACCTCCAGGCTAGAGGTTGGAGGAAGGAGGAAAGCTGAAAGAGGGAGCTCCACTGCCCTGAAGTCCACCGGGGAAGCCAGCCTGCATAGCTTGGAAAAGAACAATCCCAGCGGAAGGCCTGAAAGCAGTTTCTATCTATAGCTGCAGGACAAGGACAATGTGAGTACCTCTACACCCCCAGGGCCTATAAAGTAGAAGTCTGCTATATGCAAGTTCTTGACAAGTCTTCACAGTCTTCACAGGGACAGTCTAATGCTTACCCAATTCCTTGTCCTGGGATCAGATACCATAGCCAGGTGGGCTGGTATTTTATTATTATTATACAGGATTTATATAGCGCCAACAGTTTGCTCAGCGCTTTACAATACAATGGGAGACAATACAGCAACAATACAGTTCAATACAAGAGGGTTAGGAGGGCCCTGCTCCTTGGAGCTTACAATCTAGGAGGAAGGGGCTAGTGGTACAAAAGGTAGTAACTGTGGGGGATGGACTGGTAGGAGGAGTAGAAAATTCCTATATTAGCTGAGGGCAGGATAGGCTTCCCTGAAGAGCGGACTGACAACTCATGGGGCCCCCGGGCAATAAGGGATCATGGGGCCCCTGTGTCCTTGCCAAACTCAAAAAAGCCTATGAAAAAGGTACCAAGGGCATCTCATGGGGCCCCCTGCTGACCCCGGGTCCTCAGGCAGTGCCCGAGTTTCCAAATGGTCAGTCCGCCCCTAATCCCGGGTATGATAAAACTTGAAACACGAAATCATAAACTATAATTTAATAAATAATCATAAAAAATAATAATATAATAATAATAAAGTTAATTCAATAATGTAATCAACCAAAAAACACTGAAATTTGAAATATAGCGCCAAGTTCGCACATCACTGAGCAAAGTCGCAGAATCATTTTCAGTGTCTGATGACGAATTTCCCCACGAATCATTATCACTCAATTCTGCAAGTAGTTCTAATTTACTATTGCTGTTCTCTAGCTGGTCTAAAACCGATTTTGACCTAAAGGGACGCTTTTTGGACGCCATGGACATTTCTCAGTTTCCAGGCAAAAAGAACAGTAAAAATGTAGGCAGGGCACAGGACAAAGCAGTAGGGACAAAATATATGTGAAATGGTTTGATACAGTAATGTTTTACTATATTATTTTAGTGTATTTAGTGAATGTCACTTTTTGTCATTTTCAAATTTCCCGCCAGTTCCGTCCCCTGTAAGTCCCGACGTCGCAGGGGATGGAACCCAGAAGACAGATGTCGGCATCCGCCGGAGGACATTGCCGGGAGACACTGCAGGAGGGACATCACGGGAGCGCAGGACAAAGTGAGAGAAGAACAGATCCTGGAGCAACACTGCAAGGTATCGGGGTTACCGCTTGTGGTGCTGAAACTTTATCCCGAGCTACACTCGGGAATACCACCATAATGGGCTAGTCTTGACCACATACTATCACATTATGACAAACTTACCTGCAAAGCAGATGCCCTGTAATGCTGTTACTCTGGTGATCCACAACTAGAAGAGGGTGCAGGCAACCTGAAAGCTCATCTAGTTATCATTTAGTTATACAGCATGACGGATGCCACACACCACTGGTTCAGCATGTGGAAATGGCCTCAGATCCTCTCTGATGTGTTGCACCCTACCTTGGGGCTTAATCAAAGAGGGCCTCTAGGATTAAGCCCTGGGGCAAGGCGAAACGCGTCGGTGGGCCTAGGAGGCTGATGTTGTTTTCACATTATATCACCTGCTGAGGCAGTATTGTACAGCATCCATCCCATAATATGTACCTACAGATACACCCAGGGGCGGACTGACAACTCATGGGGCCCCCGGGCAATAGGGGATCATGGGGCCCCTGTGTCCTTGCCCAAACTCAAAAAAGCCTATGGAAAAGGTACCAGGGGCATCTCATGGGGCCCCCTACTGACCCTGGGTCCTCGGGCAGTGCCCGAGTTTCCAAATGGTCAGTCCGCCCCTGGATACACCTTATTATAAGCTTACATGTAGGTACAAGAAAAAAAGCAGAATTTACTACCACTTTATGTTTGTTTTTTGTTTTTTTTGCAGTGTTGCATGCCCAGTGTCCACAACTGGTTAAAAATATTTGTTTGTACTTCCCAGATGGTCATCAACGTCCATAGCGTATGAGATTAACTTCCCAGAAAGTCCACAAATAAAAGAACAATCATATATAAACATTTCTAGAAGGAAAAGATTTTAAAGAATTGCAATTTCATTTACATCAGTTTATTTTCATTACTGCGCCAGCTTTTCATCATTTGCCCTTCTGCTAATAAAAGCAATAAACTCTTCCTTTTTGGGTCATCTCAAATAAATTTCTGAGGAATACACATCAAAAAAATCAATGATTATTGATTTTAGTGAAACAGACAAATTGGTGTACTATTATCCTCATCTAACATTTCTGACAATCAAACCAGTCATCATCATGAAGCTGTGCTCATCAGCCTCTCCAGCGTCTTTTATTTTGTTAGTAAAATGACTGTTATTTAATGTGTTATTGAATTAAAACACTATTTTCAAACAGCACTAATTTATCATTAAATGGAATGCCACGTGCATTTTTTTTACAGTATGGCCTGAGTCTCAGTACAGTGTGTGGGTTATATTTTGGAAGTGATTTATATGTTGTTTGACCAATTTTTTGGTATTTTTTAAGCACACGCAAGTTTTATTTTTATAATATTTCCTTTTAAAAAGAAGACCAAATTATTAATTGGTTTGGCACAAGTTCTAACATTTCCTAGCATGCTTTATTTATCATAATGGCTCTATTCAGATGTATCTTTTTTTTCATTGAAATAATTGGTACTTCATTCAGCTTAAAGTCTTAAAGGGTAACTCTACTTTTGTGGAACAAATATAGCAAAAAAAAAAACAAAACCTGATAGCAAATACAATTGCTGCTAAGCCATATTGTAATTTAGGGCTCATTTACACTTGCTTCAAAATGTGGCATTGGACGCGATTTTTTTAAAACACTCTGAATGCCAATCAAAGGCCCTGTCGCTATAGGCTTGCAGACCTGTTCACATGTTGCATGTGCAGGGGCGGACTGACCATTTGGAAACTCGGGCACTGCCTGAGGGCCCGGGGTCAGTAGGGGGCCCCATGAGATGCCCCTGGTACCTTTTTCATAGGCTTTTTTGAGTTTGGGTAAGGACACAGGGGCCCCATGATTCCTTATTGCCCGGGGGCCCCATGAGTTGTCAGTCCGCCCCTGTGCATGTGATTTGCTTCATTTCAAAAATGATATCCCATGTCGCTTTCTTGGTGCTTCAAAGCATCTCCAAAGCCTCCATAAAAGTCTACACCAAAGCTCCCTAGCACCTGCAACTGTTGAGGATTTTATTGACAATTATCTCTGCTTTGTTTTGTGGGGAGATTGCAGATATGAGATATCCATGGATGTACTGGGAAACCAACAAGCGAACCTGGAAAGACGTAATCAGCAGTCACTTCCAGTTCATGTGGCTATATTTTGGGAGTGTCTGGTGCAGACTTCACTTCTTGTGGAGCAGCAGGAAGGTGAGTGGGATCCGGACTGGAGGAGAACAACTAGCAGATGGCATACGTGGTGTACAACATGGGAACGCTAAAGTGGAAGATGAGCAAGGACCGGAGAGAGAGGACTGAGCGGCAGAGAATCAGCAGATCTGGGGGACCAGGGAAGGAGAAACTAGTGGTGTGCAGCATGGGAGCAATATATCAGGAGGTGAGCGAGCATCAACAGAGCTGGGGGTTAGTACTGAGCGGGGGATCAGCAAAGCTGGGGTACTACTGAACAGGGGATGTGCTGAATGAGGCTGCTAATAAACTGGGGATCTGCTAAACAGGGGTACCTATGAGCTGGGCATCTGCTGAGTGGGGGTACTACTGAACCAGTGTTCTATTGCACCCCTTTAACACAAATAGAAAATCAACACACACACAAAAAGGGCATTTGCCAAGATTCATTCAAGCTTCAAAAGAGCATCACCGAAGCATCGCTGAAGCATCAAAAACATATCACAAAACCATGTTGAAGCGGTAGGCACTTTAATGCGTGCTAAAGTCTAAGCAAGTGTAAATGAACCCTTAATGTTATTAAAAATTGCATTTCCTTTTCAATCTGCAGCTGCTGTAATGTTCTGTAAAATTAAATGCAGTATGGCAACAAAGGAGGTGTTCGGTACACCCATTTCCTGCTTGTGCAATCAGCTTTTTTTTCCAAAAGTCTGCACTAAGATACAAGCAAAATTTTAGGCATCCTCTGCAACAGGAATTTCATTTTCGGTATGATACACCCCAAGGGTTTATTACTTATAAATGGATGCAGACACTACAACATTTCTCATGAGAACCCTGAGAGCACCTCAGGTGATTATAATGAACCAGTCACTCCTATTCAAAGTCAGCATCCAAGCATCCAGCATTTCTTCAGAGCAGAAACAGATAGGAATCTGCTACAGAGTTTGTAAAAGCCTTGCAATGTACATCGATCACCGAAAGGGGATTGTTTTTTTCCCAGCAAAAGTGTATTTACTTTTAAAGAGACCCTATCATGTACTCAAATGCTTTAAACAAAGGACCTACTAGTAAAGAAGATGTAGAATGCTTCCTGCCGATCAACACTAGTTATGGAGAACTGGTCCATCAGAGTCAGTTGAAATCAATACTTCTTGAAGTGTCGTTATCCAAGGTCCCCCTACAGAACTCCCTGGTTCATCCTGCTGCTCTAACATCACAATTCCCTCAAGCAGTAACATGAGGTCAGAAGGAGAAACCTGCGGTGGGAGACCCATAGATCAACATTAACGTAAGTGATGGTTTTTCGGTGGACTTCGGGGAAACAGTTCTCTACATTGGCAGAATGTTGAGCAGCGTTGAGCGGTTCCAGTGGCAAAAAGGAACATATCCTGTCTTTAACCACTTCTGGCCCAGCCTATTGTATTATGATGGCAGTGCTGGAGCGCCCTAGATCCAGAGCGCCCTAGATCCAGGAGGATGGATCGCAGCTCTCACAATAGTACAATCATAAAAATGATTGCTTACAGTGATCATCACTGGTCAGTAAACAACTCTTTGAACTGTTTATTTTAAATTGGACCATTCAGTCCAGTTACAAGTCTGCGTGAATAAATTACTGACATAAATCTACGTAAATCTAATTAGGCCTTCTGCTTAACAGAGAGCTGCAATTGTTCAATAGTGACTGCTCAGTGTGTTCAAGTGCTGCTAGTACTGTCTGTTTTCATCTGTATCCAAGCAACCTAGGAAGGTTCTGGATGCATAGGTGGATATCATGCAGAACACAGTATGAATAATAATGCCACTTCAGCCAATCACAGGGAATGCTGCCCTGAGGAATGCTGGGAGAAGATATTTATTCTTTGGACATACTGAGTTCTAGGTCTAGAGATTGCACCAAATGGGGGAAGGCACGCTGCCTCCCCAGGCACATGTTGGCATGTGGCCTGAGCTGGGCAACCTGTGGGCCTGAAGTAGGAGAGAGAGTGACTTTGGTTCTTTAGATAGCTGACTGAGGGGAGTTGTCTGCCAAAGATCTATCTGGTATCACTGGAGCACATTGCTTGGAAGATTGGAAGGAGGCTACCATTCTGTCCTTGGGCCTTGTGAGTACAGACACTGTGGGATCTTGGGGGGACTCTGTGTGCTTTGCTACCCCTCCTCTGATGTTTTATAGTTAGCATAGGTCTGAAACAAAGGGGGTGATGGCTGGTGTCCTGAAAAGCTCTGTCCATTTATTTGCTGCAAGGGACATTGCTCTATCCTGAAGTTACTGTTAGTGCTACTGCAAAGGAGAAGTTTTTTTTATCTGTTCCAGCAAGAACTTTGCCTAAGTTTGACTAAGAGATCAAATAATGTCCTCAACTGTAATTATTCCTAATTTGGGAGTATCCTACTAAATTCCCCACCCCTATCCAAGTTCTCAAAAAAAAAAACCAAAAACAAACATCCCCTAGACTGGTCATTGGAGACGACAAGCAAAAGTGTGTTTGTGTGCCTGGCTGTGGGAAATACCTTGTGCCTAGCTGTGGATCAAAGATAGGGAAGACCTGGGCAAAACTACAGTGGCTCCTGCAGAAGTAAGCGATCCATAAATATTTTTAAATCTATAGCTTTCAGTAAAATAAAATCCGATTCTATCAGAAAGGTCTTTATACAGGCACTTGCTGTTGTAGGGTGATAACTATATCTCATTTGTACTCCTGTGTCCACGTCATGATTTTTCTGAAGGCACTGATGATATAGCCATGGCTGCACTAAGGCACACTGGAAATGCAATGTCATTAGTGCTTTCAGGGAGCTCTTATACCGACTTGTCCGACTAGTAGGGATGCACCGATACCTATACCGATATCGGTATCCGTGTCGATACTGAGTATTTTCACAAGTGCCTGTACTCATGAAAATGCTCCCTATACCCGGAGTATCAGAAACCGATACTTTGCGGTACGATTTTCATTAATACAAATTGACGCAAGAGAGCTAGAGGGACGCTTTCTCTCCTCTCCTACCACTGAGAATATGGAGCATCTGCCTCCATAGTATACATCCCCACACATCCACTCTCCTCTGTATTAAACCTCCCTGCACCGCTCCTGTTTGAACTCAGACTATGACAAGCCTGGGTTCACACAGGAGCAGTGGGGAACCTGCATGCAATTTGGACAGGAATCACATTCCTGTTCAAATTGCATGCTATTCTTTGCGATGCAATTTGTGTCCATACATTTTTTATTGCCGCAAATCACACCACAATTATCGGTAATCAGTATCGATGAGTACTTGACTGAAAGTATTGGTACTCGTACTCATAGATAAAAAAAAGGTTATCGGTGCGTCCCTACATACTAGTAATGTCATACTGATCATACACGAGATAGAGAACATGATGTCATGCTGCTCATCTCACCTGTGCGCAGTACGAGGTCACAATTGTCTGTTTAAAAATAAAAAATCTTTTCTCCAACATCTTCTGAGATCTAGAGGG